TACAAGAAATCGTGGTTTTCTTCGTTCATTGTTTGTTTTATTATCAATATTTATAAAAAAAATAATCACTGTTTATACAAAATATGTCAACTCACAAAGAAACATGCTAATATTTTAGATTTTTTGTAATATCCGCGTTTTACTCGTATAACAGCAGCGCATATTCTGGGCATACTTTCAAACAATTTATGCAACAATTCCGTCGTTATTTCATTCCAGCGATTCTGTAGGAACGTTCAAAGTTTGTTTTGTATTAGTTGGTTGCTATTTTCTTACTTGTCTGTCCAACTTTTTCCACAGCAACTCATCCGATGCCTGAGGAGGCAATTCCATATATTGGATTTCTTTTTGCTTCTCTCTGGCAGCGATGTAATCCCGGAAAAATTTAGAAATGTGCTTAGGGTCATTATTTTGCTGGAAAACGAATCCGCGATCCACAATTTTTTTCCCACACGAGAAAGCGTTCCGTTGTAGAATGTTGTGGTAGGCTCTCTTGTCCATGATACCCTCAATTTTCACAATGTTCCCAGCAAAGCATGCCCAGACTAACACTAACCCTTCACAATGCTTTACTGTGGAGATCACACATTGGTTAATCACTACTTTTTCATAAATATTGATAATAAAAAACAATGAACGAAGAAAACCATGGTTTCTTGTACATTTCATCAATATTGTGAAGTAAACCCAAATTTTGATCTAAACTACTGTGCTCATTGTTTGCTTTGTTTGCATGTTTTGACAATTTAATGAATTCAATTTGCAATTGGTTTTAGTTAAATTATTAAGCCTATTTAAGTTTGTTTAAAAAAATATCATTGTATTTTAAAATATTGCGATTGTATTTAATAAATATTTATGTTTAAAGCTTCAAGTGTAGCTGATGGGCAAATCAATGAACCAGAACCAAGAGGCGTGGCAGATGCTTTATATGTTCTTCTTGATACAATGGTTAGAGTTGCTAGTGATCAATCTCTAGTTGCGAAACCTTTATATGACTTCATATTTGATTGTGAGTTTTTTGTTTATTTTCTTTAGATTTTCACTTTAGTAATATCAAAAAGATATTTAAATGTAAATATTTTTAATATTTACATAACTCAATTTTTATCATATTTGAAATCAGATCCACTGAAACGAATATCATTTGAAGTGATATCCACCTATAAATAACTGGCCATATGTTTGCAAAGCTTGAAATAATACTTCTATCTATTTTTATAATTCCATAAAACTTAAATTCATAAGCTAGTGCATGGCATCGTGCCTTAAGGCAAATCGCTGGTACTTTCTGTACTGTAACGAAATGCTGGAGGAATATTAAATATTTTCAAATAGATTATTATAAATACTGTAACATTATCAAATATTTATAAGAATTATATAATCTGAAATGCAAAGTTAAAATTATTTATTTAAAGTATATAAGTGAGCTTTAGAACTGTAGCCAGAATTAAAATTAAAATCTGAATTATTTTCAAAATACAAAAAAAAAAGTAATTTTTTTTCCAAAAGCAATTGTTTTGTCAACACAAGCAGAAAGTTTTTTGAATCATTTAAATCGGATGAAAAACTGCAATTTTTGGCACATTTAGCTCTGTATCTTCGAAATGGCTGGACCTGTCTTTTTGCCAAAAACTAATCACCACTTCTCCCAATTATTACAAATTGAATGTTTGTTGGATCATTCAAATCAGATACTCCGTTCAATCATAAACTCGATTTGTATTTTCTGCACTCTTTGCTCCGTATCTCCCTAACGGCCGGACCTGTCTTTGCTAAAACTAATCAACACATCTTCCTACCAATAGGAATCAAATGTTTTTTGAACCATTCAAATCGGTTGATCCGTGCACCCGAAAACGTGAACGCAAAAATGCGGACATAAAACACACACACACATCCATTTTTTCTGAGGTATGCCAAAATGTTCAAAAACCTCAAACTTGAAGATATGCAAAAAATTTCATTTTCGATTTTCGGCTCATTACTTTAACTTACTCTATGGGAAGTTAAAAAAGCAATAAATGAATTTTTGGTTAAGTAATAAATAAACCGATTAATTAATTTTTTAATATATACTAAATAAGCTTTGTTGTGATGATGTAAAGAACCATGCACAATCAAAGTACCAATAATTCAATAAATAAGTGTTAATTTTCCTGGGCATAATTATATTAAATTTTTCTCTTTTTCAGACATTTTTACTGACAAATCTGAGCCTTAATGTTACATTATATTGCCATTTCATATTTCAATATCTGGATTTGGTTGCAAAAGGATGATATAATTTGAAGATCGAGTTTATTTATATGCTTTAATTTTTCACAGGTGTTCATGGAGGTGGCAATTCCCCTAAATTAAGACTGACTGTGCCTCTTCTAACATTACTTCAACGTGCTCTGACATCACCTGAAGCTGTTCGTTGCTTTGCAAGTCTTGGGGGAATAAGCGTAGTATGTGAGGGTCTAGTTAGATGTCAGAAAGGTTTGGTGAGTGATAGACCTGGACGCGTGTCATCGGTCATGATGTGTTTAGGACGCAGAGATGCAGAATGGTAATAAAAATAATTTATAAAAGATTAGATTAATTCTAAGTAGCGGAGAAATGTTAGTAACCATTTTATTAAAATAACTATTTTATATTACATTTATAAAAAAATTCATGTTAACTGATATATTCTTATTTGAAAAACACACCATTTATTTTGTTTTGTTAATCCAAGCATTGATTATTGCGCTTCAAATAAAATTTAAATGGCTTGTGAACAACTTTCAATTAAAGTGAGATTTTTTTTAAATTATCGAATACAGTGTGCAAAAGCTTCGCACATACAATACACACGAAAAAATAAAAACTATGTTTAAATAATATTCTAAACTTAATTTGAATTACAAAATGTTTGAGTCGCTAAAACCAGATTTGATGTTATTGCTCTTTGTATTTGTAAGATATCAAATGTATCTTTTAAATAATATTGTAATTGCATTGAAATATAAAAGCCGTAACATAATTCTATAGATCAAATTAATTTTTACATAATCATTTTGTTATAATTACATATGAGCTATATTATAATTTATGACAAAAGTGTCTTATATAAAATTTTGTATATTCTGATCATTAAATAAAATGTAGACTGACATTTATTTCTGAATTCAATAAATGTTATGAACAATTTAGCATATGATAAATTAAAAATATTTTTTTTTTACAACGCACAGTACTAAAGGTGAAGAACGTTTGGAAAATTTGGCAACCTTGGCTCGCATAAGTCCAATGAATGGAGCCGCGCAGGCCGCTGACGCCCTTTTGCAGCCTGCGCACCGTCGTGCGCGTACGCCTGCATGGACATATCACTTCTATCGAGATGAAGCGCATGCAGAACTTTTGATAACATTACCAGCAGCAGCTTTGCTGCGTGAGATTCATGTGCAACCACATTTGACCACTCTAGCAAGTAAGTTAACAATGAATGCAGTTTTTGCATAAACATCTTTCCCTAAACTCTATATTTCCATGTAAATATAGCCTCGTTTAGCGCTGTTTTGCATTACGCTCTACTTTGATGGAACGTATTCCCCGCGTTAAGCGGCGTACTACTGTATCTACATTTAAATGTATTGTACATTATATATATATATATATATATATATATATATATAATATATACATTTAATTAAAATGTTTCCAAACAGATTATTATAAATACTGACTAAATCTGTTTCCAAACAGATCATTATAAATACTGAAACTTTTATTATTTTTATTTTAAGAATTCTATAAACTGAATTGCAAAGTTAAAATTATTTATTTGAAGTAAGCCTTAGAACTTTAGCTAGAATTAAAATTAAAATCCAAATTATTTTCGAAATTCAAAAAAAAAAAAATGAAAATTCAAAAGAAAAGAACTTTGAAATAATAAATGATTTTTTTTTTCTTAACCCAAAAGCAATCGTTTCCTCAACGCGGATGGACCTGCCTTTGCGAAAAACTAAACAACAAATCTCCCTATCATTACAAATTTAATGTTTTTTGGATCATCAGTTCGGATGCTCCGTTCTCTCAAAAACTCGATTTCTATTTTTTAATGAATCTCTTTGTTATTTGAAATCCTACAATTAATTTTATGCACACTGTTTAATTCTATTGACTATATTTTCATTTTACCTTAAGCACGATCCTAAAATATATTTGCCTATTCTATATATACTTCACATAACTCGTAATAATTGCATATTTGTTTTATTCTGCTGGTGTGGAAAACTTCTGAACTTAAATGACTAATATTGGGTTTTTATTTAAAATGTGCATATATAAGATTTCGAAATCAAATTATCAGATATTTACAGAGATTTCAACAATACATACAAAAAATACATACATTTTTCTCACTTCAATTATTATAATTTGCTTGTGAAATTTACCTCAAATATTTAACTATGTTATGGCCTAAATTATTTGGAGTTTTAAAAAATGTAATTTTGAAAAAAAGTGTTGTTTATTCACCTATTTTTTTTACACAACATTTGCCCATAGCACACGCATAGTGTTAATTGATTGCCATATTATAGAATCTATTTATTTACTCTTTCTAAAAAATGAGTATCTATTGAACTATTTACAAAATTATTGGTTACTGAATAAGTTACCTAGAAAATCAACGCTCGGACTCTTGTGGATGATTTCGAACCCCGCTCTGGACAGCCTGACATCGTGAAATAGCAATGTCCATTTTCACTTGAAAATATAGATCAAAAATATGTTTTCAATTGAAAATAGCCCATTTTTCGGGCCGAAGTGTGAATTGGCAATGGGAAACCTTTCACCCTGTTCTTCCCTGAATTGAGTTCGAGTTTAACTCAGCTAGAACTCCAATCAGTCCGGGTAATCAGCTATGGGTCAGAATATCTTTTTCAAAAAAAAAATTTTTCCAACTCTACTCAATATTTCAGTTATAGTTTCAGTTATTTTTTTTCTTTACTGTTTTTGAATCATATGTTCAAGTAAGCACTGATAATTTAGATACACCATTCTATGTATTACATTTTACATGCTTGTTTTACACAATTGTTAATTTCATAAACGTGCTAATTAATTTAAATTTCTTATATTATAGCTTGTCCCTCAGCCATTGCTATAGAGATATCACCAGATAAAAAGACTCCTCTCACACCGGTATGTCCTCCAATGCCTTGTTCTGGTATGACTCTTATCAGACTGCAGCTGCCTACTCCAGAAGTTGCATCAAGGGTATTGGTAAGTATTTTTTAAGAAGGAATATTAATTTTTAAATTACAAATTAGATACTTTATACATGCAATTTTGCAGATTCGTTTATACAGACCTCGTGATAATCCTAATATCGGATTGACTCAAATTCGTCTACTAGGTTGTTCCGTATTTAATGAAACTGGAAATTTTGGATACGGTATTGACAGTATAGATGAAGAACATGGTTATGGTTATAGGTATGAAAAAAATTACATAAAGGTTTTCCTCAATTAGATTTTATCTTTAACAATGGGTTCTGATTTTATCTTTGTTTATAATTTTTTTATTGTATGTGGTCTTTAATTTTTTATTATTATTGAAGAAATTTGTTTTTTTTACTGAAAATTCGGTTTTCTTTTTTTAATATTAATGCAATTTAAAAATTTTGTCACTAGAAGTATATAGCAATATGTGCATAAAGAAAAATGACAGAAACCGTTATATTTCACAATTTTTAAAACTATTTGATAGATCCCAGTTATCCAATTTTTATTCTAGTGATCTCCACGGTATATCTTCATTATATGTCTAAAAGTTTATATAAATTTCATGAAGTCAAATTGCCATTTAAATTGTAGTTGTTTGATTGTAAAACATAAAATGAAATTTTTGGGCTCTCATCCAAACTTTATCATTCCGCTTTGATTCTCAACATGTATGATAGTTTGTTATAAATTGGTTTGTCAATCATTTTTAACAGCAGTGGCTGGTTGAGTTTGCTGCAGCAATGCCTGAGCGTTGAAGATCCTACACAGCTGAAGAATTATATTACGCAGTCAGCACTTGTACCTGGTTTATTAAGAGCTTGTTGCACTTTGCTCATTGCACCATCTACATGTCATAAACTGGCTAACAACTTGTTATTGAAGCTTACTATGAATGACCATTCATTAGGATTAAAAATCATAAACATATTACTTAAGGATGGATCTGAAATTGATCATGGTAAGCCCAAAACTGCAGTACATGTGTAACCGAAACAGTTTATTGAAGAATATGTATTAGTAGTTTGTTGAGAAATAAGAAAGAACATACACAAAGAAACGTTATTGAATAATATTTAAGATTTTTGTAGTATTATTATATTTTCTCAAACTGTGATTATATTATTTTGATGATATATTAGTACTATGCAGTCAATATTTTCGGCATTAATTTAAACTACTAAATTGTTTTACATATCAAACAAATGATTTTGAATTATATTTGATTTATACTTTCAGCATGTATCGATCCAACTGCCGCGGGGGGCGTAGCAGATCACATTGCAGAACTTCTTGGAGCTCTTTGTTCCACTCGCCCCTTTGGAAGTGACGCGCCTATCACTCTGGAGCAGGCGATTACAGCTAAGGGACGTACTGCTGCGGCTTTGGAATGGTTGCAGCATGCTGGTGAATCGGCGTTACGACGTGATTCTATAAAATTGCCTTGTGCTTGCTGCGTTTATGAAATAGCTGCTGTATTGTGGTCTGAGCAAGCTGATGAATATAAGGTCAGAATGGTATCGGTTTCATTTTCTGATGTAATATAGATTTGGTTCATGTCCATAGCCATAATTTTAAATAAATAAATAATAGTTGAAATATATTAAGTAATTGCATTTCTGCTTTCTGAAAAAAGTACAAAAGTTAAGTCAAACATATGTAGATCTTTTACTTTTAATAGTATTTGGTACCATATTTAGTTATGTGGTTGTTACATGCATTTTTATCTTCAAGTCACATGATTTTTTTTGAAAAACCAACTGATTGAATTATTTATTTTGTCTACATTAATTATCCAGTATCTTGCTGGAATTATCTGGCAAAAACACATTTTTATTTTTTTATAGTAAATGTGATAATTATTTAATTTAGTCATAATTACTTTTTTGATAATGCAACTACAGTATTTAGAAAATATTTTTTTGCCTAATTATTCAATTAGCAATTAATTTCACATTATGAATCTTTAACAATTTATATTTGAAGGAATTATATGGTACGCTAATAACGCGTGGCTTATTATTGACTATTCATCGTTGGACTCGTTTGCTGCCTGCGCACTCTTCTTTGAAGCAGGCTTTAGATGCTGTATTGTGTGGTGCCTGCAGACAGCGATCTGATTTACTGCATGTTCTACTTCGAGATTCTGGAGCAGCAAGAAGAGATCCAAATGCTGCTTGTGTTTCAGATGATAGGTAAATGCAAAATAAAATTTGAAAATTAGAAACATTTGATAAATATCAATGGTGGTTATTAGAAACATTGGATAAATCTTAATGATATAATCTCAGTGTGGTAATAGGTCGAAACATTTCATTGCAATTAACAGTATGAAATATTTTTGTCAACATTTTGCAAAAAATTCAAGGAAAATATAATTTTTTTTACAGATTTTTTTTGTCAATTTTAAGATTGGATGAGCCAAATCATTATTCATTATTTGACAATTAAATATTTAATTTTCTATATTTTCAAAGATTTCTCCAGAAATCTAAATTTTGTTTGAAAACGATAAGTTTAAAATTATGTATCTATTCACTTTTTTGAAAAATAGTGGTACAGTTTTTCTGTAATTAACACATCAAGAGTTAATTTCTGGATTTCTCAAACAAAAGCTATAAATTTATTTTGAAAATTCTAAATTGATTTGAAGTATATCAATTGGCAATTGCTTCGATTTATTTTGAATACATTATTGTTAGAACATTGCTCAATCAATGTCAAAAATTCTCAAACTTACTTGAATTAAATATGTTACTTATATTTGTAAACATTAATTTGTTTCAAGTTTTATAGATGATATATTTAATTATTCAGTGTATTCTATCTTAGAATACTTAGAAATAATAGTATACATAAGTGATGCTTTTTATACATCCATTTACATTTAACATTATATTGTTGTTTTACAGTAAAGACGGGTTAGGCTTAACAGATGATTCCAAACATAAAATGGGTTCTGATTATGAATCAGATAGTGAATTATCTAATTCAACACCACTTGCTGCACAAGATTCAACTCAATTACATTTAGATGATGGGCAATTAGAAACATTAGCATTGGTATGCCAAAGCAAAGCTGGTGTAAAAATGCTTTTTGATTCAGGACTACTTAGGATTCTTATTGAGTCTATTTTAGGTACATCTAAAATTATATTATATATTTTATTCATCTTAAATTCATATTTGTTATGTATTTTTCAGTTTTTGTTAATCAGTATAAAACCAAAGAGCAGTTATCATCACTTACCGATTCTGATAAAGCAAGTTCAACAAATAGTAAGTAAAATCATCATTGTCATGTTTTTCTTTTACTCACTGTATATATGTAATAATATTTCTCTTGGATAATATTTTTTGCCATGTTAGTCTAATGACAACTAATGACAGGTTTAAGATAAGAGGAATATTTCAAAATATTTAGTTCACATCTATCCATCCTATCAAGTAATTGAATAAACTATTATAATATTTGAAATACTGTTTAATTCCTTCACTATGGCATTTATTAGATATTTGATAATCATGCATATTAAAAAATGATTTTTAAATTGAAATATTTGCTACAGATGCACCAATGGCTACATCAAATGGTGTCACAGCAATTTTAAATTTTTTGGCTGAACTTTCTGCCGAAAAAGCGATTAGTGATTGGCTCGGAAGCAGTGAGGGTTCTGCATTTTGGAATCCGTTATTGATGTTACTTTGCTGTAATAAGTAAGAATTATTATAAAATAAACATTATTTATTGAAATTTATTATAATGCTTGTAAGTAATTGAAAAGTATATATAGATTTAACTTTTCTCTTCTTTTTCAAATGTATTTTTTAATTTTTTTCTTCAAACTATAATTATAACACTAAAATAATTAATAATTATAATATCATCTTATCTGTGAAGGTATAACTTTTTTTCTTGCAGTGACCAATTGAACTCTGTACAAAGTAGTAAATTGGAAGCAGCATGTGTGAATTTTTTGAGTAGAGTGATTGCTTGTAATTCAGACAATCAAAAAACTTTATCAACTGTGTTATGTCAAATTATCTCTGCCCAAAATGTTCCTTCCAGAGGTAGGTACTTAGTTCTTAGATTTTTTTATTTATGTATTATCTATCTTACTGTTGCTTCTCAATTTTATTTATTGTATATATGAATTTAAACATTTTGAAGACTTTTTGATGAATATATGGATTGAATAAGGACTGATATATTATTTGTCAATAGTTATTGTTTTATAATGAATAAAGCTCAAGAAAATGGTGGTTTGAAACATTTATGCAGTTTTGCCATTCATCAACCAGAAAGAAATCTTGAGTTATGATGGTTCTATAAAGTGCATTAGTTTTAAAAGAAGTAGAAAAACAGTTGATAGAAATTTTAATTACAGATAGCGAGAGTATAATTAAATTGAAGCAGAAGTATCATAATCCTAATTATATTTTATTTTATTGAACCTAATCTTCATCATCTTATGAATATTTTATGACTTAATACTTAAGTAAGTGAAATTAAATTCCTTTACAATAACATTATGCAATATAATCTGTCATTGATGTTAACTTCACTATTATGAATTTTTTGTCATTGTTATGCTTGATATCTTTGCCATCTTACATATTTGCAGATTCTCCATATTCTGGAGGTGTATCAGGATTTACTCGTCGACTAGTGCTTCAGTTACTGTTACGCAGTGAACGTGTATTAGTGGCAGTTGAATGCGTTGGAGATATTATTCCAAAACCTGGTCCTGCTACATCACCAACTTTGTGCATGCATCCTGCATTGAGACCACGAGCAGGTGTACAGATGTTGATTATGCCTGCACATGCTAAACTACAAGACCTTTCTGGATACTATGCATCTTCAGGTTTGAAAATAAAATCTACTGTTATATGATGCATATGGAATACCAACTTTTAATAGAATTATTTAATTTTGTCAAATAATAAACCTTCAACTTTTAATCTAGCCAAAGTATTTAAATTGGCTCAACAGCGTAAAAGTTAATATATATATATATTTCAAAGTAACTAGCAGCCCATTCGTCGAAATAAAAAAGGTATAAAGTGTAAATACTTTTATTTATACGTTTCGACACAAGATGCGTGTCATCATTCAGCAACACAGGACAAAAACACTCAACAAAAATTTATTTTAAAAAATTAAACTTAATAACATATTAGAGAAAACCATTTTTAGAAAAAATTATGAATAACTAAAAGATTTGAAACTAATTTGACTAAAAGTTATAAAATACATAATTGTGAGACGAGAAACACGCCCATACCGAGCATCCAGACTCGACTCAGTCAATTCAGTCGAGTCTGGATGCTCGGTATGGGCGTGTTTCTCGTCTCACAATTATGTATTTTATAACTTTTAGTCAAATTAGTTTCAAATCTTTTAGTTATTCATAATTTTTTCTAAAAATGGTTTTCTCTAATATGTTATTAAGTTTAATTTTTTAAAATAAATTTTTGTTGAGTGTTTTTGTCCTGTGTTGCTGAATGATGACACGCATCTTGTGTCGAAACGTATAAATAAAAGTATTTACACTTTATACCTTTTTTATTTCGACGAATGGGCTGCTAGTTACTTTGAAATATGTTTCAACGTCGAAAAAACTATCAAGATATATATATATATATATATATATATATATATATATATAGTATCAATAATTATAAATTATATTTTATAAGCATTATGTCCTGGTGTAAGTCTACCAAGTGGCTCTGCAAGAGATTCTAGAAGAGAACTTTGGGAATGCAGTTTAAAATCAAGTGATCAAGTCACCACACGGGATAAACGCAGCAAAGAAGCTAAAAATTATGCTAGTAGAAACTCTAAAAGATCATGCACTAATGGTAACAAATTTTTAAAAGAATTAAACAAAAATTACCAATAGTTTTCAAATAGTTATGTTCTTTTTAATTTTTCAATATGAAAAAACAAATCATAAATCTTTAAATATTTTTGTTATTTGCAGTTCTTATATTTAAATTGTTTGTAAATTACTTCATTACAATTTTATATACTTTAAGATATTGCATCAGATTCCAAGATACAAGATTCAACATTACGCATTTGGCACCCATTGCTGCCAAAATCCTTACCCGGATCTTTGACTTTGTCACAGTTGTTAAATGGTTTAAAGTCTCGAAGTATTTCACCTTCAGAGTGCCAGTCAGCTATGTTAGATATCAAAATCACTACTGCTAACACAAGTAAAGGTATTCATATGACATAGAAATTTATAATGTTTATGCTTAAGAGTTTACTATTGGTACAATGGTATTGTTACATTATTTTTTAAATCGATAATTTTTTTCAATATTTTTTGTGAATCTTTTCTTATTTTTAAATATACTTGCCTATGCTCACACATCTGTTACAGATTTATTTTGTATTTTAGCATGTGATGAAGAGCAGTGGCTATTAGAAATACCAAATCTGGTTTCTCCAATTGAGGTATTTTCCTCACTTGCTGGACTATCTCTATTAGCTCAGCGTTTACCTGTAGTTCCAGTTATGTCTCATAGAAGTTTTTCTATTGATATTGCTGGGCCTACACAGTCCGATAAAATGTCTTCTGAAGCTCAAGACTGGATGGATCTTGCTGAGTGGGTAAAGGTAAACTATCTCTATTTTATGTTTTTTTTTTTGTGTTTCGAAACATGCATTAAATAATTTTGTTTTCATAAACAATAATCAATTTTTCAGTATTTCTTTATTATGTACTTTAGTTAGAAAAAAATATTCAAACAAAATTTAGTTTTTAAGATCTATTACAATGTTAGTTCTTAAAGATGTACAAAGATTTATTACATACAAATAGAAACCAAAGTTATCTACAGAATCATCTCTGCCCTTGTATTTAAACGATTTATAGGCTATTTTAAAAGTCTCTTTGTTAAAATTGCTACATATCTTGAATCCATATCTTACATATTTTGAATCAATCAATTTGGTTGATTCATGCAGCATTTCTGCATGTGCAGAAAAATTATATCCGAACATCTTTCTGAACAATATCTAAAAAATAATAAAAGACAGTAAGATTGTTATTTTAAGTTTATTCTGGACGTTTGGGAAATATGTAGATATGTGCCACTATATATGTCTAAAATATTTTTTTTATATAGAACAATATTGATACAAAACTGATGCTATAAAGTTAAAATGATTAAAAGGTTTATTGTTCAAAAAGAAACATAAAACATACATATGTATGCATACATACATATAAATAAAGAGTGCATAGAAATAAAGAGTTCTTGAATCGTGAATTTATAAAAGAATTTTCTATTATAATGCAATTTATTATATCTTACATACAAAATACTCGTACAAAATAAAATCTAATTTAATTTATATATGTAAAAACATGATTTCTTTAATAACTTACAACACTATTGAGCAAATGCTGTCCCAAGTTTTAGAGCTTTTGGTAGAATTATTATCAAATGTTTCACCAGAACTAGCTGGAAAAATTGGCGATTTAGGAAATATGAAAATAATATAATTTTAATAACAACTAGCAGTGATTTTACTTTATTGATTTGATTTTCTACAGTAACTTTTCTATGAGGTCTGATTTGATTACCTATGCACTCATATGATTTCTGACGAGTATTTGTTGATATAATGTTTTTATTGCATGCTTTTTTCATACAAATAAAACTATTAATCATCAAAAGGGCAATCGTAATTTCTTGGTAATTGATTTGAATATTCTGCTAACTAAATCTAACTCATAGTTTCAACAAGAATAATTCAGGAAATACATTTATGAAAATTTCATCTTGAATATACTGAATTGTAGTACAGAAATAAAAACTAATTGACAGTAATTTTTAAAAAAATATAGTGTTCCTCTTAATAAAATGCTTCTATTTTTTTGAAGAATTGAATCTGGCTTATTCTTGTTCATTGAAAATGCATGATTCGTTTAGTAATAATTGCTTAGCAAATATAAATCATCCTGCTTTGCATGTCCACATCCTGCTTTGCATGTCCACATCCTGCTTTGCATGTCCACATCCTGCATATCATTATTGCATTCAACCACAATTCATATGAAGAAGATGAAAAAGATTCCCGCATCCCTGATCCTGCAGGTCGAAACTGGTGAAGATGTATATTGTGACGATGTACCAGTAACTACGCTCGCCGACGATGCTCCAGTTTGCTCTACTCCACCTCCTGCATCTCAACAATCAGTCACAAGTAACAATAAGAAGATCACAGCGAATTCGGGCGCGATTCCGGTGCAGCAGGCTCCCACTTTAATGTCGGCAATACCAGCACATGCGCTTGCCGCATTTGCGCTTTTCTTGAGGCTTCCAGGCTATGCTGAAGTGTTGTTGGTAGATAGGCTACCGGCGCAGTGCTTGCTTCGTTTGATGTTAGGTGCTACTGACGATGGAGAAGGAAGTAAGTTAATGAATTTTGAAATTGAATGTTCAGAAAACCATAGCACTAGTCTTAATCAGTTATGTCTTAAATTCATAATTTTACTAATAGATACTGTATATACAATTATAAATTTTATAAACTTACTAAATTTGTAAATTAAGATACGGTATACCACTTCCTACGAATACCCGTCAAATTGACGGATATTTATTCGAATTATTTTTCGAATTATTTTTCAGACATCCACTTATTTTGGGTACTGAATATTCTATTATCGTGTCTTAGATGGTCTGTCACAATTCACAATATTATAAGCATTTAGTTTATTATTTCTATTAAGTTATTCTGAATTGCATTATGTGAAATAAATGTTAGTGTTAGTCTCATCAAAGCTTGGTATTAACTGTAATTAATTTAATTAAGATAATTTGTTCACTGGAGTGTGTGAAATGATGTATCTGTTCATGTAATATATGATGTTTCAGATTACGAAACGTCAACATCAAGATATCGAAAAAGTTTTTAATGTATTTTAATAAGTTTGTGTGAAGAAAATTCATAAGTTATTCAAATAATATGTTCGAAAAATATGGTTACTATTTAGGCTTCATATATTATTAATTTTTTCTTGATATGTTAACAATTGTTTCATTTTATTTTTTACGAAACTTTATATTATACTGTTCAACTCAATCTGAGTATAAAAACATTTTTTTTAAGAAAATACGTACATAATGCAAAATTTGCCATATGACAGGTTTCTTTAGTGATAGGTATATGCGAAATGCCCGTAAAATGATAAAAAAAAAATTATTTCTTTCATTATATTACTCCTTATTGCTTTAAAATAATAATGTTAAGCTAGGTATTTGATGCATCACTGAAGTGCATATATTTATTTTAATATGAACATTGTATGAATCAATTTCGTTTCTTCCATAATAGCATTATTATGAGCATCATACATTTTATTTTGCTTTAGATAGTAGTATGTTATGTATAGTTCATGAATATTGATTTTTTTTTCTATTTTATTGATAAACTAATCTTATCTTTTACTTGTATTTCAGATGATATATTCTCGTTACCTGTGGCCGGAGTTTTACCTACCTTGCCATTCTGTGTTCTTAGACGACTTTTAGATGCTACTCCACTTACAACAGATGATGGCTTATTACTAAGACTAAATTTTGTTGATGTTGGAGCTTTGCATTTAATCTTGGGTTGTCTTGCGGTGTTTACACATCACACTTCGGTAAGTTAGTTTTTTTTAACTTCCCGAAGGAGAGTTTGTTTTCGTCTAAAAATCCAATTTGCTAGGTTGATTAAGTCAATTACTACACATTTTGGGAAGTTATGCAACTTGCTTCAAGGCAAAATGTTACATTCAATTAGTTTCATATGTTTATAGTTCTCTAAGAATTTATAAATAAAAAGCAACTAGATCAGATTGTATAATTATACATTAAAAACGATAAATATTTCATCACAAACATTCAATTATAGACAAGCAGACTTGCTTTGAAACATCGACACTTGTAAATAATGTAACATGTTTTAGAAGCTTAAAAATTAAGAAACAATCATTATTAACCTAATTTTTAACAAAGAAATTTCAATTGTAAATGTCACAATATATCTTAAAAATGAGCAAAAAATGTATGCTTTTGTGTGATTGATTTAGAATCATATAATTCAAATATATCAAAGATTTTTATTTTCTGAATTGTGTAGCAAGAGCTCTATGGAAATGAATCGGCTGATCTTACGACATTGAATAATGGTGCACCGGTAACTTCTCAACCTCAGTCTACTACTGACAAGGGTCTGTATTGGGCTAAAGGAACTGGGTTTGGAACAGGGTCTACTCAGCAATCTTGGAATGTAGAACAGGCTCTTGCTAGACAGAAAGGGGAAGAACTTCATGTTACCTCATTGCTTCAGGCCTTATCAGCTTTTATCAATCCTGGCGATCAAAAGGGTAACGCGGAAAAACCAGTGATAATACCAGATGCAGTAGAACTGATGCCACTTCTAAAAGATGCGCTCAAAAAATCTTGTTTGCTTCCTGCTATATCTTCATATTTGAGAAACGACTCTGGTAAACTATATTTATTTACAATTAATTTACTATAATATGTTTATATGGTGATGTTCCTATTACAGATACAGATTTTTATTTGGGGGGGGGGGGGGTTTGTTATAGAATTGTTACTGATGTGATGTAACATTAATGATATCACTGAAAAATGCTAATAGTTATTGAACATTTTTATGGTATTTTTTATTTTAATTTTAATAAGAGATTTCCATTAATTAACATACATACAACTGTATCTCATTTACATTAATTTTTGTTAATTGGGTGGATGCAGGGTGTAGTTTAATTACTTTCTTGACTAAATCTTTATTTACATTTGATGCCAATAAATTTGTATCATTCAGCTCCTGAAACACTGAATCAAACGCACGAACAATTTTTAAAACATCTGTACAGAATTAACATTTTTCACCAGGATGGGTGTTAATGTTATTATTACTATTTTGCAAAATAAATTGAACATGTTGTAATATTTCAGTTTTGGATATGGCCCGTCATGTTCCTTTGTACTTAGCAGTATTACAATTACTTAGAGCGTTTGCTCAAAGTAATCAATTAGCAATGCTTCTAATACCAACTTTAAACACTGAGGATACTACACCAATTTCCTGTTTGCTAAGCACTATGAAACAATGTGTTGACACATATGCTATGAGACTTAAGTAAGTGATACAATATTATTAACTTTCACAAGTTTATGTTATTATTCTTACTATTTTACTTCACAAGTTCTAAGAATATAATTATCAATCAGAAATAAATAATTTATCTGGTATAGTAAAAATAAATTTAATATATCTTAATTTTTATTTCAGATCTAATAGTAGAGCAACAGGTAAAATTCCAAATCAAAGAAGCCATTCAAAATTGCATACTCAGCTTGATGAAGAAGATGAAGATGACGAAGGCTTAGCAACTCTCATACCAGAAATACAAGAAACGGCTTTATTAGTAGAGGTTTGTTTTATTATAAATACTTACTTGTTGCTTTGTCACATTGATTATGACTTTATGCAAATTGGTAAAACTTCAGTTACATAAAACTTTTAGTCTGGTACAATGCACTTCTTAATCAATTTTCATATTCAAGTTGTAATTTTTTTTGCATATTTGTATGTAAGCTTGAATTTGTGAGCGACTTCAAACATAAACACATTCCTACATTCATTAAAAATATTAATATTCATTTAAAGAAATGATAATATTTTCGATTTTTGCAATTTTCATTTAGGAAATTTTTAACGTTTATATGATATTTATTTCAAATTATTTTTTTATAATTTAGACTGCAATTCAACGATTGAAAGCTGAAGGTCAAAGTGATAATATAGCAGATTCAGAAAGTATATCTGGAATTTCCATAGAAAAGACAATTACATTATCCTTAGAAGAGAGATATTTGCAAGTTATGAAGAAATTGCAATTTGGTAACTATATTTTACATATATTTGTAGTTTATATATATATATATATATATATATATATATTTTGTAGAGTTTCGAACAAGAATCCAAAAATAATACAAAATAAAAAACAAGAAAAGTTTTTAAAAAAAACAATTTCTTTATTTAATTATTTGTTTATTGTCGACGTTTCGGAACTAGGTACGTTCCATCTTCAGGACATCTGTCAAGAAACATGATCTTGATGAGATTTTAGCAAACAATATGCTTAGGAAAAGAAAATAGATTTTTCTTAAATAATGAATTAATTGCAAAAAAAATATAATAATGTACAGAAATATGATAATATGTTCAAAATGAAAATGATAAAAATGATAAAAATAAATGAGTGGATTATCAGAACAGGATATTAAACATAATAGAAAATTTTTTGAAAGTTATGGAAATTTTTTAAGAAAAGGTTAATGACAAAGTTGAATTAATTACCTGTATGTTTGAATATTTGTTAGCACTTTTTCACTAAACAGCTTTTTTAACAAAAATGAATTTGTGAGTTAATTTTCCGCCGAATAATTAGATTTTGTAAATCAAAATTACTAAAAGATTTGTCTTTTTTAAAATTATTATTTGAAAACACAAATAATATTGTTCTCTGGATGTTGTTCGATTGGCTTTCGAAAATTAACTAATTGAAACTGGTGTGTCCTTTGTAACACGTGTAAACACTTGAACGAGAGATGTGAGATTGTATGTGTGTGTTTTTATATGTTAGGGTGTGAATACTTAAATTGTTGATCTTAAAAGGAAGTCGATATTAATTGTTTGTCAAAAAGTGTAAAAAATTTAAATATGAATCATGTAATAGGTTGTGATCTGATCTAATGTTGACACTGTTAGAAACATTTATGAGAATGAGACAACTCTCCGCGAATAACCTTCTAAAAAAGCAACTTTCGACCTAGTTCCGAAACGTCGACAATAAACAAATAATTAAATAAAGAAATTGTTTTTTTTAAAAACTTTTCTTGTTTTTTATTTTGTATTATTTTTGGATTCTTGTTCGAAACTCTACAAAATATACACAAATCCAAGACTCTACCATTCAATATATATATATATATATATATATAGATTATATTATTATATATATATATATATATATATATATATATACATATATATATATATATATATACATACATATATACATATTAAATATCAGTAATTTTTTTATACAAAACTGTATCTTATTTGATATGATATGAATGACATTCTAATGGCATAATATATTTGAAATCCATAAGATTCTACATAAATTTAACAAAATATTTGTAGTAGACTTTATATTAACTAATCTATTCTAAAATATTACTGTATATTTATCCCGTAAAAATTTGAGTATTTTATTATTTAAAATATGCTAACAACTTAATAAATATGTGATTTAACTATTTATGATTCACAGATACTTACGAAATGATGGTGGAAAATACTGGATCAATGTCTGGCGGAACTGGTTTTCGATTTACAGTCCCCTATCATTATGAAAATAGTGTTCGAGCTATGGGCTTCAGATGTTGTCATCCTGGGAGAGTTAAACGTTTGGCTCAAGAAGCAGTTACTTTGTCAACAAGTTTACCATTATCTTATAGTAGTTCTGTTTTTGTTCGCTGTGATACTGATCGTTTAGATGTTATGAAAGTGAATAAAATAACTAATTTCATAATATTTCATCAAATTAAAGGTAAAATAGAGTATTCAGTATGTGATTATTCTAGGTTTTAATAACTGGACCAGCTGAGACTCCATATGCCAATGGCTGTTTCGAATTTGATGTCTTTTTCCCACCGGATTATCCTGCTAGTCCTATGCATGTGCATTTAGAAACCACTGGTAGACAAAGTGTTCGTTTTAATCCCAATCTTTATAACGATGGAAAAGTCTGTCTGTCTGTGCTCAACACATGGCATGGGAGACCTGAAGAAAAATGGAATTCACAAACATCAAGTTTCTTACAGGTAATTTGTATTGATATGTACACAGCATGAATACATTTAGTGATGCAACCTAATATATGATAAAGCTAAGATTTGCATTTCTCCTACCTTTTTGTTATACTTATGTTCAAAATATATTAAAAAAGATGATTAATGTTTCAAAATAGAAATACAAAAATAATCAAACTCTTTAAATATATTAGGAGTGAGTATACATTTTTTTTAATAATCATTTGTTATGATAAGTTTGTTGTAATAAGTTCTTTTTGTTGAATTAATTTTTTTTTTTTGCGACATATTGATCATTTGACATTCATTAAAGCAATTTAAGTTTAATATTTTTGTTTGCTGTTTGTATTTAATATTGAATTGATTAAAATTTGACTGCATTTTCATTTTCAGGTACTAGTATCAATACAATCTTTAATCCTTGTTCCGGAACCATACTTCAATGAACCAGGTTATGAGAGATGCCGCGGTACCCCTAGCGGCGCAAATAGTTCTCGTGAATATAATGCCAACATATACCAAGCTTGTGTTCGATGGGCAATGCTTGAGCAATTAAGGCAACCTTGTGCATGTTTCAAAGATGTTATTCAAACACACTTTTGGATGAAAAGGCATGAAATAGCAATTCAGGTTGAAGGGTGGATATCAGAATTAGAATCTCAAAGTACTGAAAGGAGAACGGGAAGAGTGGCTTCATTAAATGCAGTAACACTAAAGGTATGTAGTTTGTTTTGAATCTCCTACCCTTACTTATTTACGTATGAAAATTATACAACTATACATTGCCACTGAACAATTTTCCAAATAGCGCCATGTTGTGATATAACAAATCAGCATAGAATTATGTAAAAATTACTATATGGTGAACAGGTTTATCAGATTCATAATATAAGCCTGATTTATTACTTGATTTATTCATGATTGATTTATTACTTAAAAGACAGAATTATTGATAAATTGCATTGCAATGAATTGAATGGTTACGAACAACTAAGTTTTTTATTTGATTATATACATTAGATATTCTGCGATTTTAAAAATAACTGTTTATAGCATTTTTAATATTATGCAGCAGAAAAAGAAAACAAGAAAAAACCTACTTGGACCAACTCGAATCATACAAATATAATTTGAGTGAAAAAAGTCACATTGAAGTATTTTTAGTGAATGTGATGAAAATTTATGATAAAAAGGGTTTAACCCCTTAACTTAAAATGACGAGCAGAGACCGCGAGCGATTACTAGGCCAAAAGTGAATATTACGGGCATAGCCCGCGTACGATATTAGGGCCAGAGGCAAAAATTACGCTTTCGGGCATGGCCCGGTATGCTAAACGCAAGTATTGCAAAATATTTAATCATACGAAACTATAAAACACAAAATTATTTTTATTTTTGTGATAAACCGCACACTATAAGGGAAAATAGTCACAAACGCCGCGCCAGCTTGAACAACTTTGGCCCGACATTTTTGAATCTAAATTGTAAATGTTAAGGGGTTAACTTTGCCAATATACTTGTTAAAGTGAAGCTTGTGGACATAAATTACTACTAAAAACAATATAAATAAACTCTTAAAACAGTTAAAATTAATGGGGGGGAGCGCTAGAAAAAAAGAACCGGTATACCAAACTTCAACTTTGTATCTCACTTTATGGCCGAGATATCATTGAAAATATGCCATAGTGGCCCCTTTTTCAAACTCTATATTATATAACTCTATATATATATATATATATATATATATGTATATATATATATATATATATATATATATATATATATATAAGTTCTTAATGGCGATACATCGAACAGAAAGCAAAGATTTATAAAATAATCTTTAATTCCAAACGTTTCGACATACAATTTGATGTCATCATCAGTGGATCTATAAGGTAAAAAATTTAAAAAATTATATAAACTAGGTAACTATGGGAATTAAAATTTTACAAAGAATCTATAAATAGGAGAAAAAACTAGGAACTAGTTTGTATACCCGCGCGTAACGCATCGCGCACTGCTTTCCGACCGAACGAATTCCATGCGAGCTACTATTAGCGTTACGCGCGGGTGTACTGGTTCTGGTTTGTTCAATTTTTCAATGTGTTCTTCAAATTTGATTTGAAGAATATATGCAGTACTAAAAGAGAAAACAATAGGTTTTTGAATAACGCTAATAATAAAGTAAACAAAACGCGCTATCCGAAAACATTAATTAAAAAATATTTTATTCTTTTTAGCTAATAATAAAGGATTATTTAGCATATATTACTATACATTATGTGGTCTAAGCCAATATGAGTAGAATCACGTAATTTTTTTTTTTATATCTTTTATGGTTACGCCAAAAATTGAGAAAAAGGGGCCACTTTGGCATATTTTCAATGATATCTCGGCTATAAAGTGAGATACAAAGTTGAAGTTTGGTATATCGGATGTTTTCAAAATGGCATATAAATTATTAAAATACAAGGGTATTGGTCGATTATGTATGGCAATGCGCCCACACCCTTGTGCGTCGTGACTATTATGTACTCGTCTGGCAGACCCTTGCAATCGTCAGAATGGTCTGGCTTGTTACATATGCTTTCTGAACAGTTAAAAGAATACACCCTAAAATTTTTTTTTACATTTTCACAAGTTGAAGGGATGATGACGCAATCGCGGAATGACTGCCAGACTGGTACTTTCTTAATGGGTCGATAATAAAATATCATTAACAAAATTTCTAACTTTGTGAAAACAGGTTAGTCAAATAGTTCACTGGCTCTTAGACTAAGAGATTGTAAACATAAATTACTATTATTGGAGTTCGGTGATACATTTAAGCGTATTAAAATCGGATGGCTCGCATGATTTAATCCATGATTTATTTTTTATATTTATGTTATCTATTATTTTGATTTGAATGATCCGAATCACTTGGCACATTGCTAATAGCAATATGTTTTCAAATAAAAATAGTCCTTAATCCGGCATTGCTGCAATACCTCTCAATGGATTGCCACACAAACGTCTTAGTAATAAGCGATGTTCGCAGCTCGTAGAACACATAGTAGTAGTTCTGATTGCTCTTGTATTATAAGCAAACACTAAAAAGACAATAACCGTGATATCAAAATTTCAATTAATTTAACAATAAAATATCAAGTATTTCTAATTTTTTAAAATTAATTTTATATATAAATTTATATATATATATATATATATAAATTTATATATATATATATATATATATATATTATGGTGGTCCTTAAAATGGTCATTTTCGAATTTCCTTGCTCCCAGGGGCTCAAATGGTTCCAAATAGATAAAAAACAATTCTCTGAAAATTTATTGGAATTGTTAACAGATTGTTTTCATTTCTGAATTTAAGATAAAGATTAGCCTATTTCAAAAATATCAAGTAAATTGGAGCACAGTAAAAAAAATTCACAGAGCACACGCTTTTTTCCTCTCCATTTACTGCAATAATTTTGTTGATCGTAGGTTGAATAGAGCACATGTGAACAGGATTTGACAAATTAATTCACTTCATATATGAACTTAAGTAATAATGTATATTGAATTATTAGTGAGAAAAATGATATTTAGATATTTAAATACTAAAAGCCAGTTAAAATATGGTACGAAATTATAAAAATTATAGGCAACATCATTGAAATAATTATTTTGGGTAGAAAAATCCAAGGTGATATTGTACCTTTACCGCGCATGCTATATATTATTTTTTTCTGAATTTGTTATACTTTTTAAAAGGTTTCAATTTTCAACACGTGTATCTATGCTTTGACAATAAATACATCACAAAGGCAGATGATGAGTTTTGTGTGATAAATTTGGAAAATCAATGTTTTAGTCGTGAATAAACAAAAAATCATTCATTTATACATCCACATATACAGGGGCTATACTATATAACCCTTAAATGCAATAAAATAAATTGAGCTATTGGAAATAAATTTGTTCTATAAATCGCAGTGTATAATCTTTAATATACAATTTTATTGAACATTTTTTAATATTTGTTAAATGGATAATTGAAGTGTTAACTGTGGGAATTGAGAATAATCATTTTATTTGAAACAGTTCTACATTCAACATCACTCATATATTGGTGTAAATAGTAATTCGAAAACCAATAATGATTACTTTTAACTGAACGGTATAAATATTAGTATAGGATATTAAAAAAACGTAGATGTGGGTATAGGACAACGTCTGTCGGGTTATCTAGTATATATATATATATATATATATATATATCTATACATATATATATATATATATATATATATATATATATATCGCACGTTCGTCAACCGTTGAACCGTGTCTCTGACACAATTACCTATCTCGGGAATCGGATTTCAAAAAATCCTACAACTGCTGCGAAACAAAACCATCTGCAAGTTCGGTGTTTGTAAGAACTGTGGCAAAATTTACCATGTGAGTTGTGCAACAAGAAAAGGTTTCAAATTCATTATTGGAATTTTGATACAGTGCTGTGACGTGAGCAGTGAAGTGTCAAGTGACAAAAATACTATAAACAATTTAAAGCAAACAATCATCGGCAAAAATACGACAATAGATGATTAGATGACAATAATAAAAGACAAGGAATACATAATTCAGCAGCTTAAAGAAAAAATTAAGATGCTTCAATTATTAAAGCCAAATGAAAAGAAAAAAGAGGTTTAGTCAGCTTCAACCAGTATTGATAGTAATACTGAGAAAGCAGCACCCAAGAAGCCTAAATATAAATCTACCAATAAAACAGTGCCAATGCTAATAAGGTCTTAAAGGAACAGGTGAGTGTCGCATTAGCTACTGCTTCGAAGGAATTAGACAAGCGTAGAACTGAAACATTCCGAGATGCGGTTGCCAACACGAAATTACCTACTAAATCGACCCAAGCTGAACAATCAATTAAAGCAAATGACGATGGAAATTGGACTTTGGCCCAGAAAAAGAAGTCGCCGAAGCGTAAGAACAAAGCTATCGAAGGAACAAATGTGACCACTACTCTCGCGGGAGTAGTGAGGAAAGCCTTCCTGCATGTTTTGCCTGGCACCGGAAACTTCGACGGAATATTACTTAAATGAAAAAAACTTCAAAAATATTGAATGTGAGAAATGGCATCAAAACATCCCGAAACATTATGCCTCTTTCAAGGTCTCCATTGCGGAGAGCGAATTGGAAAAAATAAAATCTTCGGATGTTTGGCCAAAAAGAGTCTTTGTGGACCGTTTTTTATTCAATCTAGGAGAAAAAGCAAAGAAAAATTGTCAAACTGGATCAACATAATGTCCTTGAGTATTCAATGTTTATCCAATAAAACAGAGGCATTAACAATGGTCGTCCATGACAATAAAATAAACATTATTTGTCTATGTTGTGAGCATTGCACGGAGGTGTTGCTATTTACTGTCAGAAAGAGATAGAATGTTTGGAATTAAATTACATAACATCACATTCCGATGAGCTGACGTGCGAAATGGCCGCATGCTACATAAAACAATTAAAAACTGTTGTAATATCGATGTGAGACTGAGACCCAATGCGACTCTTGACACATTCTTGCAGAAAGTTGAGGAGACTTTACTGATTATATATGATAATTTTGACTTAAAAACAAACATCATCCTATGCGGCGATTTTAATGTTAACCTTATTGAAAAATCAAATGGAACAAATGCGTTGATCAATTTAATGTCTATGTTTGGGCTACAGCATTACTTAATGAAACCCACTCATATTAGTCTTACTTCAGGAACTTTCATTGATAACGCATTTACAAACGTCGATGAAATTAATCTTTCAGTAGATACCTTTGCAGCGGCAATCTTGGATCATGAAGCTCTGCTTATTCGTTTGAGAGTTGACCCTAATGAAAGTACATTCCGCACTGTAAGAAAGATCGGTGGTCTCTACATGGACAACTTTGTTAATCAAATTGGCCAAGTAGACTGGAAACTTTCGGTAACTATTTCGATAACTTTTTAGTTATATTTGAGAAGATAGCTTGAAATGCATTCCCTTGCAGTCTTATATATATAAACGAGTATCGATCAAACAAAAATGGAAACCAGCGCAGTCTCTAGAAGTCCTGAAATTGAAGAAAATGGCCGACTTAACATATGACGCATTTAAACAAACAAAAAGGGCCGATTATAAAGCTTTTTATGAAAATCTGAAAAAGCAATACATCCAAAAGATGGAGTATGAAAAAAAAACAAACGAATATAAAAGACATCATACATTCTGATAACAAAAATATCACAATTTGAATCATAATAAACTGGTGAAAATTTTACAGGTAGCATAAGTCCTGAGGCACTCAGTATTGAAGACTATATTATTTTTTTCAAAAATGTAGCCATAAATGTAGTAAAAAATCTGCCCCAGCCAGAAATTGCAGCGAACGTCTATTTGACAAAGGTATTTGTGAAGGGCCAAAGTATATTTTTAAATCCAACTACCCCAGAGGACATTAATACAATGATTAAACGCTTGAAAAATAAAACGTCGTTTGATGCTTTTGGCATTAATATAAAAATGGTAAAATCTGTCGCACAGTACAATGCTGGACCGTTGTGCACATGATATTTTTTCCACAGGAGTCATTCCAGAGGATTTGAAGCTGGCAAGAGTAGTACCATTATATAAATCAGGAAATCGTCAATCAGCAGCAAACTACAAACCGATAGTCATACTGCCAATATTTTCGAAAATTACAGAAATGCTGTTAGCATTGAGAATTACAAGTTTCTACGATGTTAATAAATATTTTGTAAAAACTCAATTTGGATTTAAAAAGAAAATTAACACAATGGATGCTGTGCCAGACTTTTTGAACTTTATATCAAATTCACACTGGAAGATCATAAACACTGTGGTGCACTATTTTACGATCTCAGCAAAGCTTTTGGATATATTTTTCAGGAAATTAGAATATTATGGGTTTAGAGGCGTAGCCCTTTAACTTATGCAATCATACCTAAGTAACAGGTATCAGTTTGTTGAATGGAACAATAAACGAAGGGATATAGCAAGATTAAACGCAGGGGTTGCCCAAGGGAGTATTCTTGGGCCACTTCTTTTTATCATATTTGTGAATGATCTATCACCGAACATCAGCTGCCATACAACGCAGCTTGCAGATAATATAGCATTGGCGGTTGCGGACGAGAACTTAGCAAATATGAACGAAAAAATTCAGTATGCTCACAAGCAAGTTGAAAATTGGTTTTTAGCCAACAAAATTGTACTGAACAATAGAAAAACAGTCCATATTAACTTACTTCGAGTAGGAGACATAGGGAGCTGCATGGAGGGAAAAATAAATATTTGGGTCTCACTATACACAGTCTGCTAACCTGGGCGAAGCACATAGATTCGATATGCACTAAGCTCTCAAAATCAATATATGCCATCAGAAGAGTAAGATACATTATAAATGAGGAATGCGCCAGAGAGGGCTTACTTTGCCATGTTTCACTCTGTGTTCTCATATGGAATATTGGTATGGGGACACTAGATGCCTACCTCCAAGATAATGGACTTACAGAAGAAGGCTGTAAGGCAGACCCTTGTTTACTAAATTTAGAATACTAACTGTTACCAGCAGGCGATTGCCCTCCATGCAGACAGAACAAACCATGTCCTGAGGAGTGACGTCCATGACACGCGGAACAGGAATGCTGTTGTACATCCAAAACTGAAGCTGAAATCCTCGCAAAGGAACAAGCTAGGTGTCGGGATCTACAACAAACTTCCCAATGAGTGGAAGAGTAAAAGCAGGAATGGTTTCAACGCTGTCTTTAAAAAACATCTTATAGATTGATCGATCTATTCAATTAATGATTTTTTTTTAATCTAACTTAATTATTAATTAGGTTAATCCTAGAGTTGTTCATAAATATAATTTATATTATTTTAGTTATATTATAATATTGTGATAAAAATAATAATTGTATGGACTTAAATTGTACATCTTGAATTTGAATAAAGTATCTTTCTCTATGCGCATATATATATATATATATATATATATATATATATATAATAAAATTAGAAAATATACCACAATTGCCCCTATTTTGAAGAATTTTTTTTTAGTAGACTTTTTAGTATTCCATTATTTTACAATTCTGATTTAATACGCAAACTGTTGATGGAGCTTGCCAACACGCTTTAGTATCGATTTAAAAATATATATATTCATAGTTTAAAATGAAATATTAGAAAGTCTTCATATTTTATTCTTTCACTTATTGAAATTCTAAAATCATGGTTATTCTCTTTTTAGTGTTTGCTTATAATGCAAGAAATTAAATCCATATACCTCATGATTTTTATCATCATATATTTGTCATATATACCAGATACTATTGCAATTAGATATTAGATATTTTTAATTAATATTTGTGACCACAAACTGTTCATTTTATTCAATTCTCTAAACTACAAAGTTATTCATTATATAAAGGTCTAGTAATGATTTTAGTTTGGTAAACTAAAACAACATTTGATTAATTTTTGTTCAATTTTTCAGCGCTATTATAAGTTACTAAGAGAGGAATTGTCTAAACTTCCTGTGCCCGAAGGAATGTGCGAATTAGACCAGCCGCCATTCAGTGCTGACACATCGCCAACAACTCCAACAGCACCTCAACTTCGACAGTTACTAAATACATTAAATCCAAATCAGCAAACAGACCCTTGGACATCTGGTGTTGCATACCATTCATCTTTGTCCGCTCAGCCTGACCTTGTGCAAGACGTACTAACAACTGAAGCAACAGATACAGATGTTGAAATGGAAAAAATTGTATCAGATGTTCTATGTGACTAGAGCTTGATTTGAGTTTATCATAGAAGTGTTAATGAAACTATATTTATTAATGGTTTTATATATGAATGGATCCAAAATAACAGGTGTTAGCCAAAGAGCATTTAGTTTCTCAGAATAGAATTGTTAATTTAGATTATCATTTGTACAGTTTCATGAGAAGTAATCACCATATGTTATAAACAATTGGTTGTATCATTTATTTATATTCAGTAGAGATTCAAATAAAATGTATTATTTAATGTAATTATTACTAAGTAGTATTTTTTTAAGTCCTTCATAAATATGTAAAAAATAAAATCAAATAATGTGACGTTATATATATGAATACATAATATGTAAAGAATGAAATGAAATGATTATAACATTTTAATGACATGGGATTTTATTAAAAATTATAACCTCAATAATAATATATAAAAAGTTTGAAGTCGTTTTTACAAATTATGTTTTTGTTTCTTTGATGAAACCATTTATTTCTATGGTAATGATTAAAACATATATATTAACGGTATATTAACAGCAAAAATTTAGTTTATGCGCGGTTTGTAAGTATTGCTATTCGCGCGATTTTTTAATCTCACGTCATGATGGGTGTCTGATGCTTTACTATTTTTTCTTTTATCTTAACATCAGGCAATACGACGCACAGTGGATATCGGCAATAAAAAGTTATTTAAAATAATTAATGAAACAAATAAACTGGTTTACTTTAGTTATATGATTGACATTTTAAATAATTTATTTAATAATAACTAATAATTCATTTTCAATAATAAATTATAAATATTGACGTTACACCTGAATACATCAATGTTCAGTTTGTGCTTTCAAAATCTAAGATGGTGGCAATCAATTGTTTGTATAACTATTGTTGTTCGCGTTAGTGGTTAGATGGAACATGCAAAAGTGTTATGCGTTGAGATGTTATAAAATGTTATAAAACATAAAGCATCAAATGAGTAGTTGAGTTCTTTATTATTAATTTTAGCGCAATAACTGTGTCCAAGTATACCTATAATAACCTCAAATGGAGGGCAATAATGAAATCCCGTTAATCGCTTTAGCAGATGTCAAAGGTATGTTTTAGAACATACAAGATTTAGATTCAAGATAGATTCAGAACTATCAATGTCAAAACGTATGTTTAATTGCAGAAGAGTTAGAATTCGATCCATCTTTAAGTCAGGAGCAAAAAGATTTTTTTTTGAGTATATATCAAGATATTCGAAACGTTAAAACGGAAAGGTTACATTGTACTTCTTGTGATGTTCATTTGGGATCAAACACTTTAGGTATGCTGTTTATTTATCATTTTTAATACTAACTGATTTTCCACAATAATGTCATTATATTTTAGGAAATGTTTTTGTCCATCCCCATTTACAAGTGCTTTTGTGTGGTCCCTGTTTAACTTTCTATAATTCTGGAGTTTTTGAGAGAGGTGATGATGGAAGTGAGTTGCATTGCAGGTGGTGTGGACAAGGAGGCCAGGTGAGGAAAAAATACCCCACAAAGGTAGCATGAAATTCTTTTTACAATGAGAATTTGTGAAAGTATATAATATGAATTGGTTTATTTTGATTTACTCATCATGAGTTTGTAAACTAATTAATTTCTTTTGTCTGGGTTTGTGTGTTTGCTGATTCAAACTGGTTTTTTTAAGCACACTATATTATTTTCATTCTCTATTACATTTTATAAAAGAAAAAATGCAATATGAAAAGAGCAGTTAAACATCAAATAATTAGTTTTATTTAAAATCCCATTACTCACCAGATTTATTTTGTTTCATTGTCTTATTCAGTAGAATATTAACACTTTTTTCAGATAGAACTGTGAATGATTGAAATAACAAATTAAATAGCAAAATATTTTTGATGTAATTTTTTTGTGTACATTTTGGAATACTTTTATTACAAGTAATTAATAAGGAAGGAACGATTAAGACAATAGTTATTACGATGAGTACTCTTTAAATGCCAGCCCAAATATGATCTTGTGACGATCATCACAAAAATAACTATTATTTTAACAGTATACCATAAAAATTGAAATTTTAGAAATATTAGGTAAAATGTATAATAGCTTATTTTATCATAGGTTTATTGTTGCTCAAAATGTCCAACTGTATTCTGCAAACCATGCATAAAAAGGAACTTTACAAGGTCTACTATAAAATAATTGATGACAGTGATGAGTGGGCTTGCTTTCGATGCGATTCAAAACCTATGTGGATGATTCAGGCTCGATGTTGGGCTCTTTCTAATTATGTAAGATTGGAGAAAATGTGAGTAGCTAAAAAATAATATTATTTAATATTTATATTTAATTCTAATATTAGAAAACTTTCATTTATTTTTAATGCTAAATATTCATTTATTATCAATATATTAGTTAGCTATCATTTATTGTTTTTTTTTTTTATTTGCAGAGCATGTGAAAATTTAGACCCATCTAGTCATCGAAAACAACAATCTTTCATTGACCATTCTTTATGTTGCAAAGTAAGAAGTGCATGCAACAAATTGATACATCTGAGTGTAAATCCAGAAAAAGAAATTTAAGTATAGTAAAACAGATATTGTCCAAACATTAATACCTAAACGTAAAAGTGCTCCAAAAACGACAGTTGGATTTAAAATGGACACTGAGGAGGAGCATGAAGTGGTCTGCACTCCTGATATTTTCAGTTGCTTGGAAGATGATCCTGATGATCCAGTAAATACTGAGATGGAATCTGAACCAATGTCGCATATGAATGGTTCTGAGGAACCTGCAATAAAGAAGCCAAGAATTTCTGTCCGGCCTCCAGAATCTCTGATGCAATCTCCTGATCAGCCTATGTTTCCAGCAATAGCTCAAAATAGGCTATTATTATGTCCCATGCCTGGACCAAGTGTGGGGATAAATGATAACCCAATGCCAATGAAAGGGAATGTTCTACATGCTGGCCAAACAAATTTAGTCATTCCAAATACTGGAGCCATGTATAATGCTAACTTAAGATATAATTTGGTACCTGTACAACGCAGGTCTGCAGTTAATCCACCACCTCTGTCACCTCTGATCCTCAATCCAGCAATGAATGCTGCTAATAATACAGTTCCTACTCCTGTTAAACAAACTGCTATGGTAATGCTATGAGTGTTACTCAAGTAAAGAACTTGCCAGCACAAAACAATCGTAATTCAAAATACATGCAAGTAAATAAAAATATCACAAAGACATATGTCCGTTCAGCTGCAAACGCAACAGATAATAATGCAAAGAATAAACCAAATGATCAAACTTTATCATCATTGCTTCAAAAAAAATTAAAAGAAAACCCTTCTATAAATGCTATGAAACTAAGAAAATTACCTGAATGGTTTCATGCAAATACACAGAGCTGTCTGGTAATTGCGTACAATTTTGTATCACAGTTGCTTGATTTGCAGACTAAAGCTCAAAAAGTTCAAAATTGCAGTTATGATGAAGTAAAAAATATGCACGTGCAGCTTTCATTTTTCATATCTGCATTAATTGGTAAATTAAAAAGTAATCAATCTGAGCTTAACACTCATCTATCAGAATGGACTGATACTTTGTGCAAGTCTCTCGAAGGCCAATCTTCAGAAGGAACAAATTTGCAGTCAGCATCTTCAATCATTAAAGCTGACCCACCTCGCAAAAAGCTTTCAGCTGCTGAAATCGGTCAGCAGAATCGAGAGGAATTCAAAGATATTTTTAAAAAGTTTGAGACTGACAGAAAACTAAATATGGATTCTATTGTATCAGTTGCTAAATTCAAGTTTCATAAGAGTACAAATGTCTTTAAAGTGAAACCAAAAGTGAGACAAATAATCAAGACACCCAATATAGATCCTAATGTAATTCAAACAATTGACTCAGACTCTGATGATGATGATTGTAAAATTATATCAGATCCACAACCAACAACTATAAATTCAGTTGGAGATAAGCCATCTACAGAGAGTAGAAAGAGTGAACTAATTTGTGTTGAGAATGAGCTACCTAAAAATGAAAACTCGCAACAAAATGCTGCAGTTCAAGATAATGAGATGTCAAAACCACCTTCAGAAAACCCAGCCATTGAAAATACAAATGATACCATTCAAGCTGATAAGATTTCATCTGAAGATAATGTTACACAGTTAAGTGAAATAGAGCCTGAATCACAAAAATCAACGAATGAAGAAACTACTTGTAACATATTGGTAAATGCCATCTCAAACGTTAAAGAGCAAACACTTAAAGAACAAGAACAAGTTTCAGAAATTCCTGAAGATATTGCAAATGAACAAATAGAACTTCATAATAGTGAAAATCTGGAACATGCTGGTGATAACAGCATAATATCTGACACAACTGAACAGTCAAACAATGCGGTTATTACTCATGATGACAATACTAATATTGACATGCAAGATGATACTTCAAATGTCAATAGTGTAACAAGTGATGTTGGGATTATTAGTGAAGTTACTTCTGATAATGAGGTTGGAAACCAGGTACAAACAATAGACAAGGATGATTCCACTAATCAGAAAGAAAAAAATGATGACCAAGGTATAATTAATGTTAATACTGGTGACGATTATAATAATATTGAGGCATATCCGTCAAATGATACTGAACCAGAAACAGTATTAAGTGAAATCAATAATCACAATAAAGATATTGTGCAAATGGAAACAAATATTCGATCTAACATGGGGGCAGTTGATAGCCATTTGAATAATAAAATTTTAGGCGTTCATGAAAACTCAATGACATTAGAAATTAATGAATCAATTTTAAACAATAGGACTACTGGTTTGGAAACTGATACTATTATTGGTAACAAGCATTCTAACATTGCAGATGCTACTGAACAAGCTTTAAAGAAACTAGAATGCGTTATTGGTTTAGAAGAGATGAACCAGAATATTGAGAGCATAAATGTTGAAGAGAAAATAGGTAATAATGCCAAATCAACAATTGCTGATGGAAGTGATATAAATTCATTTTTGAGTTGTGAAAGAAATATTTCTAATGCAGAATGAACAAAATTAATGTGTGATAGGAATCCTAAACTTGGTTCTTAATCTTACAAATGACTAAATTTTTAAAAATTAAGAATATTGATTTATAGATGGTTTGTAAAGTTTTTTTTTACATATATATAAATAATTATAAGCAGTTATCGTAAGGTGCACATAAAGTATGAATTATGTGATAGCATATAATAGATTTTTTTTCTATTTATATTTGTGCATATTTTAAATGTAAGATATGATTTATTTCATTTTATATTTACCCATGTAATTTTTTTTGTTCAAAATAGTGGTTTATTATGATACATTATCACAATATTATTAGATGACCCAAAAATAAAGAGAATATTTAGAGATGCAAAATTTAACAATCAATGTCAAATAATGTTTTGTGATAATGTAATAGATTTATTTTATTCTTTTATTTCAAATTTCTCTGGTTTTTATTTTGTCAAATAATTCTGGCATGATTTATAGCTCAATTGAATGTTATTCATAAAAAATATTCAAAACTAATGTAAATAATATATTATAAGTATATTTTTAACTTAATACAAATTGTAAATTATCAAAATGATTTCTTTGTTAAATATTCCACATATAACATTCACAACTATGCATCATTGTAAACAATGCAAATGTGTTTATTTTAATTATGTGATTAAATAAAATAGTATTTCAATAAAAAAAGTAATTCATTGATAGTAAAGAATTATATAACATTACAATGAATTTGTTTAGAATTGTAAGTTTTAGATGATGTTGCTCAGTGTGCGAGACTGAAATTAAAATATTTATATGATTATGAAGGTTTGCGACTATTTTAACTGGAGTAGTAAAAAGTAATTGTCTAGGGGTTATGTTATTTTCCTGATTGTTCCCAAATTCTAAACATGTACATTTTCAGTTTTCAGCATTTGAACGATTTCAACCACATTTACTTTAGTGTTACCAGACTAAGTAAAACGTGTTCTCTTTAAATGTATGTATGATTTCAGAAACTCAAAATTTATAAAGCATAGGTGTCATTTACATAGTAGCTGCATAAATAATTCAAATTTGTGAAACATAAATAAAAATAAAACAATTTGAAAAACTTGTGTGTTGCCAGTCACGAGTTAGAATGATAATAGTAAAAACCATAATGGCGGTGTAACTATGTTCTCATTAAGAGTGAAAAATAAAAATTAACATAAACGTCTTTTTTCTAAACGGAAGGTAACTTATAATATGGTGAACATGCTATGATCATTGTGGACGAGAGGGATATATATATATGACGATAAATTTCAAGGGCTATTCAAAATTTGCAATGAATTAAAGGAAATGCCCTCTTCTGTAATGGTAGCCACATAACATTCTCAATCAAAGATGGCGGGTATGTACCTTTCGTTTTTGTATATGCCTTATGCCAATGATTATTTTCATAAACATTAATTTTGTTGACAGATTTAAATCAGAAGATTTCTTGTACTTATTGCGAAGATGAAAATCGGGTGTTCGAGTTCACTGTGCCATATGTCAAGATATCGAACTCTGCTTGCAGGTGTGTATGTCACTTTAAACACAGCGCGAAATTCAAAAATTACATTTCATAATATTTCTTTTACAGTGTTTTGCCGCTGGAGCGGAGATCGGTCCGCATAAAAATGATCACGACTATCAGCTTATGGTAAATATAGTAAAATTTATAAGAAATTTATTTTGACTTGATTTTAAATAATAATGTTTTTTTTAGGAACCAACATTAAATGTTTTCCGAGGCAAAGGCGCTTGGTCAAACATGGAAATTATGTGGCTTTTGGATGCTGTTGAACATTATGGGTTTGGTAACTGGGAAGATATGCTAAACATGTAGAAACGAGAACACCAGAAGGTAAACAGATAATTAAGAGCTATTTCAATAAAAAAAAAATATTG